GCATGGGCAGAGCCAAAAGAAAACCAAGAGAGGAGAGACATTATTTATTCATTCATTCAATAAATATGTAATGAGTTTCTATTACAAGCCAGGAACTGTTCTAGGAGCTGAGGACACAGTTGGGATGGAAATAGGAAATTCCTGGCCTCCGTGGAGCTTATATTTGACAGGAGAGAGACAGACCATAAATTAAAAAGTAGGCCAGGCACGGTGGCTCAAGCCTGTAATCCCAGCACTTGTGGGGCCAAGACGGGCGGACCATGAGGTCAGGAGATCGAGACCATCCTGGCTAACACGGTGAAACCCCGTCTCTACTAAACATACAAAAAACTAGCCGGGCGAGGTGGCGGGCGCCTGTAGTCCCAGCTACTCGGGAGGCTGAGGCAGGAGAATGGTGTAAACCTGGGAGGCGGAGCTTGCAGTGAGCCGAGATCCGGCCACTGCACTCCAGCTGGGCGAAGAGTGAGACTCCGTCTCAACAGGTGTAGCACTCAGGAATCTTGATGGCGAGTGACAGAAACCCAAGAAATGAAAAGGCACAAAAAAGGGAACGCTATTAAAAAAAAAAAAAAAGTAACGGAAAGGTCCAGGCACTGTTGAATTCAGAGCCTGAAATAACACCAGGGCCAGGCTGGGCACAGTGGCTCACACTTGTAATTCCAGCACTTTGGGAGGCCGAGGCAGGTGGATCACCTGAGGTCTGGAGTTCGAGACCAGCCTGGCCAACGTGGTGAAACCCCGTGTTTACTAAAACTATAAAAATTGGCCGGGCGCGGTGGGGCCGAGCGGGCGGATCACAAGGTCAGGAGATCGGACCATGGGTGAAACCCCGTCTCTACTAAAATATACAAAAAGCGAAGCCGGGCGCGGTGCGCGGGCGGCAGTAGTTCCAGCTACTCGGGAAGGCTGAGGCAGGAGATATGGCCGTGAACAGGAGCGGAGCTTGCAATGAGCCGGATTCGCGCCACTGCCACTCCCAGGCATTGGGGCGACAGAGCGAGACTCGCCGTCTCAAAAAAAAAAAAAAAAAAAAATTAGCCGAGCGTGATGGCACATGCCTGTAATCCCAGCTACTCGGGAGGCTGAGGCAGGAGAATCACTTGAGCCCGGGAGGCAGAGGTTGTGGTGAGCTGAGATCACACCACTGCACTCCAGTCTGGGCGACATAGTGAGACCTTATCTCAATAAATAAATAAATAAATAAAAATTAAAAAAGAAATAACACCAAGGCTCAGTCCCTCCCTTTCTTGGGCTCTAAGTCCCCAAGGTGACTTCCTTCTCAGCAAAATGGGTGCGCCAGTGGCTACACGGTCACTCCCACTGGTTTACCCACCCCAGGGGAGGGAGCGTGCCTCTGACCCTACTGACAGCTGCCAAAGTCCCAGGGCTGACTCCCACTCACCAGCTGACGTCATGGGCTGCACCTTGAATAAACCAGAGTGCTCGGATTGGCCAGGTCTGGGTCACACCAATCATGGAAGTTGGGCAGGTGGGTGTCAGCTTCACCTGAACCTGAACCTGAAGGCGTGACAGCCTCCCACCTCCAATTGAGGCACTGTTACCAGAAAAAGAGGGATTGTGCTGGATGAAGGACAGACACAACCAGACATCCACTACACTTGGAGATATTCCAAGTCCATGTGGGGTCCTGGGGATGAGGAGGTGCTAGGAAAGGAGGAGAAATAAGACCAGCCCTGTAGGTCTACAGTAGTAGGGTAAAGGCGACACGAAGTGTCACTTCTGGCTGGACACTGTGGCTCACACCTGTGATCCCAACACTTTGGGAGGTCAAGGCAGGAGGACTGCTTGAGGCCACATAGTGAGAACCGCCCCCTCCCCTCATCTCTACAAATCATTAAACAAAAGTAAATGGTTGTAGTGGCATGTGCCTGTGGTCCCAGCTATTAGGGAGGCTGAGGTAAGAGGATCACCTGAGCCCAGGAGGCTGGAGCTGCCATGAGTCGTGATTGTGAAACCGCACTCCAGCCTGGGTGACTGAGCGAGACCCTGTCTCAAAAAATAATGTGTCAGCCAGGCGTGGTAGTTCATGCCTGTAATCCTAGCACTTTGGGAGGCCGAGGCAGGCGGATCACTTGAGGTCAGGAGTTTGAGACCAGCCTGGCCAACATGGTGAAACCCCATCTCTACTAAAAATACAAAAATGAGCCGGGAGTGGTGCCACCTGTAGTCCCAGCTACTCGGGAGGCTGAGGCAGGAGAATCGCTTGAACCCGGGAGGCGGAGGTTGCAGTGAGCTGAGATTGAGCCATTGAACTCCAGCGTGGGTGACAAGAGACTCCGTCTCAAAATAAATAAATAAAGTGTCATTTCTATCCACTCTGCTGCTGGCTGCTCTCCCTCCTTAGGACAAGAAGAGGCAAGCATCTCCCCATCTCCAGGACGTGAGGCTGGAGGGGAATCCCAGGTGAGGTGCCTGAGAGATGGGACTAGGGTGTGGGGGACAGAGCTCCTAGCGGCAGCCCACCTGTATGTTTAACACTGCATTTCCCTTCACAGGGCCCCCGATCCTGCATCCAGGCGGCCCCTGACCTTCCTGCTTATCCTCTTCCTCCTCTTCCTCCTCCTGGTGGGTGCCATGTTTCTCCTGCCCGTGTCAGGAAGCCCCTGCTGCTCTAACGCCCGAATACCCAGGACACCCTACCTGGTGCTCAGCTATGTCAATGGTCTTCCCCCAGTCTGATGTGTGTAATAAATGGTCACTGTCAAAGGATGTGTGAGGATCCTAGGTGCCTGCGTACCCGGAATCTAGGATGTGGTCTGGATATGTCTGGATGGACCCTTTTGCCTTGAGGACAGAACACACAGAACCGCATCAGCCCATCTTGGGTGGGGCTGCTCCAGACTCTGACACAGTCAAGCACCAGTTCTTTATTCAGGCGTGGCAGGGGACTCCGGACGTGAGCTCAGGAAGGGAGAAAGCCAATACTGGGTGAGTTACTAGTTGCTGCTCTGGGCACCTGGGGTGTCATCCCATTGCTGGTTGCACCCTAGGGACAAAGAAGTTGTGGCTTTTTTTTTTTTTTTTTTTTTTTGAGATAAGAGTTTCACTTAGTCTGTGGCTTCTCTTCTCATTATCAAGCCTTTTTGTTAATCCAGCATCCTTGGGGATTTGTCATTTGATGTTTTTTTTGTACGGTTTTTTGTTTTGTTTTTTTTTTTTTTTGTTTTTTTTGCGTTTTATCTACTGATCGGATTCTTTTTTTTCTCTATCTCTTGTTGCTTTATATCATGGTGTTAACTCTCTTTTTTTTTGTGTCTATCTATTATTATATCTTATTTAATAATCTGCCTTTGGGCGATAGGTGGCGGGCGCCTGTAGTTCCCAGCTAACTCGGGAGGCTGAGGCAGGAGAATGGCGTGAACCCGGGAGGCGGAGCTTGCGTGAGCTGAGATCGGCCACTGCACTCCAGCCTGGGCGGCGCAGAGCGAGACTCCGTCTCAAAAAAAAAAAAAAAAAAAGGGTTTCACTCTTGCCTAGGCTAGAGGCAATGGTACAATTTCAGTTCACGCAAACTCCGCCGCCACGATTCAAGCAGATTCTCTGCCTTGACTCCAGAGGTTAAGCTG